ATTTTTTAAAGACATAAATTTTTGAGGCAAAATACACAAAAAGAAGTTTGTAAAAAATGAATCCGCCTCAACAATATAGAACTTTCCTATAATAGTTTTTATTACACATATTGGATTTTGACTGAACATGAATTCCCCACAAGCACAGGATAACTTAACAAATAAATTGCTGTTTTAGTTTTACCATTCTCGAACCGAAACGGAAATATTTATTCAAAGTCTGACACGAGAACGGGCCCTTAACTCATTCCCTATGAAGTTTCGGGACTATTCCCAATATCCCAGCTTCATTAAAGCGAAGAACTTCCTGTTGGCCCGCCGGACCTTAACGGTGTCCGACTTTGAAATAAACTTTGGCTTCAGTTCCGGCATGTTTTAAATTTTAGATGTTTTAGACGCTCAAAATGGGTTTCTGTGGAACAGAGAGCCACTGTGTTGTATTTTCAATGCAATCATTAAGGGAAAAAAGTCTAGAAATTATCTTTGTCTCATGGAGTCTACAAGAGTAACGTCTTAATTCCCAGCCCTGAAGCAAATTCATGTTTCTTTTTAAATTTTCATGCCGAATTGGGAAAATGTTTGCTACTTAGCGCTCAGATGGAGTGCCGAACATAGGATTTTGAGGGAACCAGAGTTGATAACTTACAACTCAAGTGGGAAAGGAATGTTCATCAGTGCCCTTGTAGGTACCTACTTATTTTATTTGGTTGAGTCTTTGAACTTAAAGCGGAGACCAACACTTCCGCGTCAACTTAAATGCTATAAAATTAGCATTTATAAGGTGACTCAAGTGTATTTTAAATTAAGTTTCCGAAAAGCTTGTTGTCAGTGGCCGACCCGATTTCGGTGCCAAAAACGATACATGATTGTAGCAAGAAGCCCATAAAGTATGTATACCTCGATTTCGAACAACCCAAGCCAAGATTGCTTTTATTCTTCTTTTCCTTCGAACTTTGGGGGTGAATTCGGTATGATTTGTTGTTGCTGGCTTGTCTGCCTGCTATGTTGGCAAACTTCAATGGAAGTTCGCGATTGGTTTTAAAATTTAAAACGACTGATAAACGTCGGTTGTATTTTTAAGTGACGACCTGAAAGTTGAATGCGCCCAAGTTTTATTCAATTAGGAATCGATATTTATTTCAGTTCATGCAAATCATAATTAATGTAAGTAAAAATTATACATCAGTGTTCATTTGCTGTATAAACTTTGGAATAGCGGCTCTCCACTATTCTATTTGCTCAAAAAACGGAAGCCAAACTATTTATCTTTTATTTGATATATTTTTTATTCCCTTTCCACATAGCAAAATGATATTCCCAGAACATACCTGGAACATTCATGTGATGTACATGCATATTCCTGGGACATACATGAGTTCCATTATGAACATTCCATGTATGTCCCAGGAATCTGTCAGA